ATTTATCACTTTCACGGGTTTATTACGAATCAACTCAACGGCCTGCTCCCAGTTGGCTTGTTAGCTCAATTGGTAGAGCGCTGCACTAGTATCGCAGAGGTCAGTGGTTCGAATCCCGTACAGGCCTGATTTTTTTCAGGTCTGATTTTCGCTATTGCTTAAATAGCGCTATCTACTGCGAGGATCCTGCATCATATGCTTTATACCTCGTTAGAATTTTTGGAACTTGAAGATAAGCCAAAGTTTGTTTCATTATATCTATTTTTCCCATTAAGGTTACTATTGGGCTAAACTTGCCTGCGTTTAAAACATTAAACATGGAGAATTGGTCGGGAATAAACCCGAGAGGTATAATGCTAAACACTGAATGATAAAATATTGATAAACTTAAACTGAGGGTGAACTACTCATTCTGCAAACCATTTGACCTTTGTACACAACGTGTTGAACCCTTTCACTCCCGCGACTGACCGAAAAGAAATTTCTCTTTACAACACCAAGCAGACAAGTTATGAGTGTAAAAAATATTATAAGCAAGGAAATTGTAAGTTGATCCAATATCAAATTCTCAGAACTAACATCGCTGACATCATTCAGACACTGGGTTGAGTCACAATCACACCTCATGGACATCGCAGTTATCCTTGAGAAATTCAGCAGCTTCCGCTTCTACGCATGCTCGGAAACCTTCACGATGATAGGCGGAGAACATTAAAGGTGTGAAGAATTGATTGGCTGTGGAGTGATTCGGGAACTTGTGGCATAGGAACTCAGACAAACCGCTCAGGCAGGACTTTTTGTTACAACATGCACAACAACAGAAGGTCAACTTGTCGACGTCCTCTCCTTTCAGATATGGGCTAGTCCCCCAGTCACGTGCCTCCAGATGGAGACCAAATTCTTCCCAGGTTTTGACCTCGCTGTTTTCACCTTTTCGTGGATCTCTCGGTCGAATCAATAAAATGTCGCCCTCACCAACTTTGCGGCCATTTTCGTAGTATTCAACTTTAAATCTAGTGAAAAAGCAAATAGATAAATCGTTCTCGAATTAAAGAACTTTTTTCGACAAAAGGCAGGTAATTCATTGTGCCGCACAGAACTTCTTTCATCTTAAATGGGAAAACATCGTAGTCCTTCGACAAAATACAAAACTATGAAAGAGGCAGAACTAACCAAAAAAAGAGCAGTGATAGTTGAAGAAGATTGCAAATGACGAACTCGGGCCTAGGCTTGTTAGGATACGCAACCGTAGGTGGCCCCTATAAACAACGATGGAGACTAGTTATCGTGCACCAGGGGAAACCAGTGGGACTTCATCTTCTCTCCGCAAACTCTGGGCTATACCCCCGCTTATAGCTTGGACCCTCAACCTCTTGCTCGAAAATCTGGGGCTTTCCTTGATTGAAGATAACCAGGTGTCGGTATAATTAGACGTGTTTTAAAGCGGAGCTCGATGATAAGAAAAAGATGGAAAAGAATTAAGGAGAAGTTTCGAAGACACCTACTTGAAATGTCGAGGTTTTCTTTTATTCGGTTGCTGCAGCTTCACGAAGTTATCCAACAGGTCGGAAATGACGTCACGACCGCCCTGGCCAATAAAGGAACAGTTCAGCTCCCTACGAGCGAGCATGAGTGCTTTCAGTAGGCTTTCTCCATACTTCTTCTCATTAGAACAGTAACCACCATCCACCACGAGAATTTTCTTGAGTTTTTTCTTTAACAATGGTAGAATACCAAGATTTTCCACGTGGCCTCCATCGCTGAGTAGTATCACGGGAGGGGGCATGGGTCCGATGTTGTCAATGGAAAGGCCTTCTCTTACGAACTTCACAAAGGACACGTGCACAATGAACCACCTTGGAAAACAAGAACATTGATGTATTTATCAAAAGGTGGAAAGTTTTTAAAGAAACTGTGGTGTTGAATGGGTGGGGAGATTAGTCCAAGGGGTTTTGGTGCACCTAAGCGGGGGTCTGGAGCGGGGATTATTAGTCGCCAACAGAGTATACGGGGGGACCATAAAAAGTGACCGCTTATTAACTGCCAATAAGGATCCTCCCCTCCGGCAGTAAATAATGACCGGTCCCTAGGAAGACATATCTTCGTCCTGCTCTTTTTGCCTAAGCTTAAGACCGGTTTTATTAAAAAATCTCACGGGGTCCTTATTTTTTTTTCTTTTATTCAGATTGACAATTGTGATTACTTTCTTGGGTCTATCGGCTCACCATTGTAATGTACTTAGATTTACACAATCCTTACCTGGCTATCTTCCCCCATAAGTTTGGGTTTTGAGCTCCTGTATCAGCGAGAGCTCCAATGGCAGCCAACACCAGGTGAATTGCAAAGAATGTGAGTACTCCAGCCTCAATCGAACTCTCATCCCCTTCGCTATAGTAAACAGCTGGTACGGCGATCAATGGAAGACCACGGAGAACAGTGATGAGAGGTGGGAGAAGCTGTTGTAAAGTGAAAAAGATGGATGAAAGCTTGAAGTGTTAATCGGTGACAGAATCCAGGGATCGGTCATTATTTGCTATGGGGGAGGAGGGTGGGGGGAGGTTCGGGAGACCAAAGGGAATATTCATGAGGATTAGGAGGAGCTGTTGTGAAATAAAAAAAAGGATAAATTAAAGCTTGCAGGTCACGTAATCCAGGAAGTCGCCCGATTATTCTTGTTTCGTCAGCAGTAATGTGCCAAATAACTGTCATTGGTATAATTTCAGAGCTGAGCAAAGAGTTTCCAGCAATCTGATTGGTCGATGGGTTCCTTATATGACGCTATATAAACCGCTCCACGCGGTTTATATAAAATGTTAAAGTAAAATGTTAATAAATGTTACTAAAATGTTTTGATTTTAGAAATTTCTCTGTTGTTCAGCTCTGAAATTATACTAAAACAATTATTCGCCTCAGGTTTGGTGAATATTGTCAAATAATCCCCTCGACTTCGTCTCGGGGATGATTCGACGATATTCACAGAACCTGGGGCGAATAATTGTTAAATGAGAGTAGGGGGATAATAAGAATATTACAGTGTATGTCTTATGGACGGATCAGGTAAAATTTTAACGCGACTTAACCAAAATTCTCTGACTCTCCCTAACCAGGCGATGCATGTTTTCTGATCTCAGGCAGAGCATTTCCTTACCATCATGAACCATGACTCTTTTTTAATTGCCTCGAGGTTGCTGATCATTGA